AGAAGTAATGAAAGTAAACTGCCACAAACAACCAAATTTAAGTTGTTCAGTATAACAGTACTTTGATTATGAAACGAAAACAGATCTTGAAAAAGATATTTTATACTGACCTCTTGGATTAAAATAGCAAAGTTGAATTCATAGTTTCAATTCAATGAATGTATTTTTTAATCTGGAATTTTTCTCTTTCTATGTTAACGTTACTTTAAGCCCCCTTTAGCATAGTCCTTTATAAAACCGTATTAAATGGTTTATAGCACGCAAATATGACTTTTTAGTGTGTAATGTATTAACAATTATAACTCCTCATATGAACAAATAAGCTGTTATAGCTGTTGATAAATAGATTAATGAATACTTAAAATATCCTAGAACTGTTTATAAATGCCTAATGGGGATCGTACTGTCTATACTGACATTATCACACTCTTATTTTATTTGCTGCAGGTCCTTGTGATGAACAAGAGCGGGTGTAACCTACGACCCTCGTGCCAGAACTTTTCTTCCCACGCTGAACTTTATCACAGTGTAAAACACGAGTCTCTCCTCCGATGGAAAACGCATCCATATCAAGAGTTTGTATTCATTTTAAGCTAGTAACAGTGCCATCTATTGTGCTGCCGAGAACAGGAAACAGACAGCTGAGCCAGATGTGAACCGACAGCCTTTTACCTACATAAATGAAGTGACGTGTACAAGGTTCAAACACAGCTTTATTAGCATCAAGGCATGTTGTTCAGTCCATCGTTTGTTCCCTCTTACCTTCCCCTGACATGTGGGCTTCTTTTCTGTATCCTTTCTGTTACAAGTTATCATTTGTACATTATCATAAAATGCTTGCGTCAGTGAATTACATTGAGTTGCTTCGTCAAAGACAGTTTCAGATGTAGCAATAATGAAATGGCCGATATCATACACGTCTGTGAGTTCATTGTTTTCTTTAAACCTCTGTTAAAGTAAAGGACACAATCTGTGCATACAATCAAAACCAGAATAATAAAAACAAACCTTTTACAAGATGGATTTGCATTGTCTGTGCTATCTGCTAAATATTTTCTGTATACTGTAAATCTAGTATAGTAGTACTTCTTTTTAGAGAAATTACAACACTAGAAACTCAAGGTACAAGGCTACAGTCACACACTGCCGACTGAAAGTTGTTCACACATTTTGATCCACAACACGTTATTAATGTCAAGTACCATTACGGCCTTTTATCAGGTGGAGTCCAGAGTCCCAAATGGTCAAATACTCCTTAGTTTAATTAGGACATATCATAATCGTTCTTTAGCTAAATAAAATCTGATGGTGTCTTATCAAAAGTTCCAGGAAATAACAGGACTTTTTCCCACGACAGGAACTTTTCCAGGAAAACCTCATTTAAAATAATACCCTACTACCCTAAATGCAGGTTAAGTTTCTGTTTCCCCACTAGTTTGAGAAAGAAAGAAGAGAGAGGGAGTGGCGGTAGGAAAGTGCTAGTGTGTGAACAAAAAAAATATAGAATATTATTTGCTAATTGTTTCATTGAATTGTTAAATACGAGTGAAACACCCAGCAGAGGTTTCAGTCTCATTTTTCACCTCTGCATGTCTCCTTTTCATTTATTCTTTACATCCAACTAGAATATCGGATTCATGTAACAGTGAATACAAAGAAAGAAAGGAGTATGAAAATTACATTTCAATTGCTGCTGTAGTTTTTAAATCGTTCTAATTTGCCTAATCTTCAGGTTTTTTCAGATGGAAACTCTAAACAGGGATGCTCAAACGGGACTTCCTGAGTTTTGTTCTTGTGGTTCCTGGAACTGTTTGGTTGAAGGAAGCCCATGAGGGGGTCTGAGAACCAGTTTCTAAAGGGTTTAGCCAGTGTTCGCAGAATTACATTTCGATTGCTCTTAATATTGCAACCGTCAAACAGATTTCTGTGTACAATCATCTACAGTATTTTAAAGGTGGGTTTGGGATCAGGATCTCTATAGCACTCACTGTGTGGACTGAGGTAAATCTAAGGACCATTTCTCCTCATGTACCTCGTTCTCTCAGTCCTCTGTTTTATTTGTGGCGTCCTTGCGAGTGATGATCTTGTACACGCTCTCTCTGAAGTTGCTGTCAGAGGTCAGTCGCCGCGCCGTCTCCCGCAGCTCCTCCATGCTGTCGTCGTCTGCGTTGCTTACAGCAAAAGACTTGGAGTGTTTCACTGTAACGAGGCAGAGAGAAGAACACAATGAAGTACTTATGACTCTAACGGGTTCCTCGTTAAATAAAGGAAGAAATTAACATACTACTGATTAATCACTTGTTTGATTTTACAGAAAATTAAGACAAAAAGACAAAGACTCCGGTTCCAGCTCCTAAAATGTGACTCGTTTTTTTTCCACAATTTTTCTATCATTGTTAACAAAATATCTTTGGTTTTAGACTGTTGGTCAGACAAAGCAATTT